CTCTATTCATCTTCATCGGCCACTTTGAGGTTGGCCCCCTCTTTGATCATAACAAATCCTTCCTTTTCATTCATCTCCAAGAATCGCTCCTCATGCAACTTCGAATTGAAATCTTCGATCGTTTCGAAGGTGAATGGCTGAGCCAGTGCCAGATTCTGGAGTGCCCGACCGGCCTGAGATACAAATGTCACAAATTCATGCTGATCTCCTGGGATTACCTCGAGATGTCCGTCTCGATTCCACATAAATAATTTCTGATGAGCCGTCGAAGGCACGACTCCTACTCCATGAATCCACTCTCTTCCAAGTAATGCGTTGAAATTTGCATGTGACTGGACCACAACAAACACAGTAGGTCTCGAGTAAGTGCCCACTTTCACGTCTAAGGCAATCATACCTTCTGAACTTGACGTCTTTCCACTGAAATCGGAAATCATAATATTGTGCCTGACTAAGTCTTTTAGTTCAATGCCAAATTTCTTTAGCATAGTAATTGGCAGTATATTCACTGCTGCTCCACCATCGACAAGGACTCTATTCACCATCTGTCCTTGGATCTCGATGTTCAGTAATAATGGTTTCAAGTGGAACCTCATTTCTTCAGATGGAGGATCAATAAAAGCAGCATCTCTATGAGGGACCTCACATGATGTTTGTGTAACCCATGTTACTTTTGGCTTTATATTTTCTGAGTAAAAGTCATCTTCTCGATTGGCATCACTCTGTTCTTGGTACTCTCGATATTCACTAACATATTCTGCTGGTAATATCGATATTACTCCGATTTGATGCTCGTCCCAAGTACCCTCATTCTTATCATCGAAATATTCTCTTGCATATTGACTATCCATCGGTACAATATTCTCTTCGAAATTTCTATAATTATTCCAATAAGGGATCCTTCCTCCTCTTCTCCAGGGCCTTCCTCGGAACCTCCTTTGGAATCTTGGTAATCCAGTGTTTGACCCCTCATCGTATGACAATCTCTCGAAGACATCATGACTTTGAAGTCTGCCTTTCCTTCCTCGAGAAGGATACATTTCTCTTCTGATCCATTGCCTTTGGTTTTCACTAACACCAGAACCAACGGATTTCTGTTGACTTTCTTCGATTGTTGGTCGGACTGTTTGATCTACTTTGTCATTTCTCCTTTTATTTTGGCTGTCGATCTTCTTTATTTGCTCTGACTTGAAAGCTTTAGCAGCCGATTTATCGAACACTGCACTGCATCGTGGGCATAACGACACATCTTCGTCTTTTTCTTTCTTCCTATTCAAAAATTCAATGAGAGAATCTCCTGATCGAGGGTATATTTCCTTTTCGAACTCTCTCTCGAATTCACTCAGGTCAAATTCCATATCTTCCTCAGACACATCCATTCTAACGTGCTTAGGATCGATGTCTTCAGTGACCTCTACCATGCCTATAAAGGCCGAATTTGTTAATCGGACATCATCAGTAATGCCTGTTTGGGATTCGAGGTATCCAACTTGGGCCTCGAATGAATTCGTGTCAACTTTCATTGTCATTTCTTCGAACCTCAACCTTCCTTGGTCAATCGCATCTTGGATGGTGTTCCTGAAATGTATGCAATTGTTAGTCCAATGTCCAAAAACATTATGAAATTTACAATATTTTCGACCATTCCTTTGTTCTGCCGAAGGCAGTTTATGATCTTCGCTCAACTTAATTTGTTTGTCTTTTAACAAAACATCGAAGATTTTATCAGCTTTCGTCACATCGAAAGTATATGTTCGATTTGCCATTTTATCTTTCACTTCATTCTTTTGTAGCAGTTTACAAGTATATGGAACCCCTACTTTGAGTTCTGCTATGTTTACTTTCTCATCGACAGTTTCTTCAATATCACTTTCTGTCATGTTATCTGTCTCATATACATTATTTATGTATGCTATTCTTTCCTTTTTTAAAGGTTTCTCATATTTCTTATACCTTTGTTTCTCGTATTCTATTTGTTCCACTCTTCTCACTTTATCAGCTAATTGAGACATGTCATTCAATGGCAAATTGACTAGTTTTTTCCTAATCGAGAATTCTAAACCTGCAGAGGCCATTCTGACTAATTCATATTCAAGAATTTGAGTGAAACATCTCGATTTCATTTGTCTAAATCGATTCAAATAATCATCTATGCTTTCATGATTGTATCTTTTTATATTCATCAAGTCGATGAGACTCACTTGAGTTTCTCCTCTAAAGAATTGCTCATGAAAATTTCTTTCCAATTGCAGCCAATTATATATCAAATTGGGTGGTAATGACGTGAACCAAGTAAAAGCACTCTTAGTCAAAGAACTAGGAAAATATTTCATTTTTAATTCTTCACTCATCGCTAAATCCCCGCATTCGATCTGATATCGAGCCACATGCTCGATAGTTGATTCACCAATTTCTCCAGCAAATTTAGTGAATTTGGGTACTTTATACCCTCGAGACAATTCTGTTTCGAGAATCGCATTCGGAAAGGGAGACACAAAATATGTCTGATTGGGTGGTCTAAATTCCATCCCTTGTAAATTCACCCTTTGTCCCAACATATTATTCTGATTGTGTATGTTTTGAAATCCTTCGTTCAAATTCCCATAAATATCATTCCTCACATGTTGATACTCATTTCCCATACGCTGCTGTTGATCATTGTTTCTATTTCTTCTCAATAGATATGGGGGATTAATATTAGTATTCTGATTAGCATGATTTTCTATCCTCGTTTGTCGAGGCACAACCAATGCATCCCCGATTCGTGACATTTGGTCTGCTAATATCTCAAAGCTAGCAGTAGTGTTTTGTACTAATGGATTTAAGACTGTAGTCAATTGTTGTGATAACATATTCACCATTTCAAAATTACTCTCATCCATTTGTTGTCTGAGTACCCCTAATGAATTACTAGATATTCCAGTACCCATGTTTTCGATAGAATCAAAATTAGATCGATGATAGTCTCTATCGAATGCATATCTCCCATGATCTAAGTATCCCCTCTGATCTAGATTTGGAGGTATCTGTTGTGTGCCTACATTCTGTCCATTCCCTGAATCCTGTGGAATTACTAAGTTTGGCGACGTCCCTAAATTCGGAGGGATTCCAAAATTTTGTGGCATACCTAGTGTTTGAGACATTCCTAAGTTATATCTCGAATTCCTATGCGTTGAAGAAGTTCCAGCCCCACTCACATTATTAAGTGAAAACCCGGGCGGTCTTAAACTCATACGTGGCCCTACATATGTGGTTGTGGGATTTCCTATAGTTTGCATATTATTTGGTATCACCGTACTAGATCCTACTTGGGTGTTTGCTAATGTACCTGAATTTTGTTCACTACTCACAGGTATCGACATGCTCACAGTTGTCGATACTACAGGTATGTTCCCATTATGACCTTGCCCCCCAGTATTTGGTGGGTGTGATCCATTTAATGCCTCACTGTTACCTTGGTTATTCGATGAACTCTGACTCATGACCCTCCCACTCCTTAATCTCATACACCCTCGAACTAACCAATTTTGTGTTTCTCAACACAAGAGGCGTCCCCTACCTGGTGCGCCAATTTGTTTCTGGTGGAATTTCGATCGGTTTCGATTCTAAACAATGTTATGGTCCTAATCGAAATCCTTCCATGTAAGTTCTTTTTACTTAGGCTAGCAGTCTGACTTTCAATCGAAAACGTGCATGAGAATCACAAGATATGAAATTAAAAACTATTTTTTGGTGTTTTGTATTTAAAGTATCGAAAGCATTAAAACTATCGAATCAAAAAAACAGAATGTTAAATTGCGAAGAAGTGTAAAGTGCGAAAACCCCAAACTTGCATTAAGTGTAAATAGCAAGAAATCGAAAATAGTGCAGATATAAATGACGGGAAATCGAGATTTGCAGAATGTTAAATAACATGGAAGTTTAAATGCAGAAACTTAAATTTTCATTGAATTGAAATGACAAGGAATCAAAATGCAGAAACATAAAACTGCTGAATTTAAGTTGCATCAAAGTAAATTACCAAGGAAAATACAGAAAGCGGTAAATGTACTCAGTGAGCAGGGAAATCCAGATTGCCAGAAGCTTCATGGTGTTCGTCGTTTCTCCGGTAGACTTTTCACTACTGATTCTGTTCTCTGCCAATTTCTCCCCCCCCTCCGTTCCTTCCTCCTTTGCTCTATTTATAGGGCATCCTTCAAGCCTTTCGAGAGCAGTTAACGCGACTGCTACCACGTTCTACGTGGGTATGGCAGTTTATCTTCCATAGTTTCCCACGTTCTCACGATCTCCGACTTTTTTTTCCATGATTTCAAAACTGCTCTTTCTACGTGCATTCGACTTACTTCCTTTCACGATTTGGCCAAAGTCTCGATGTCCACATTGGCTTTCTTTACTCTCGATTTTGTATTTATCGAGAACTTCGAATTGCTTACGATTCCTTTTTAACCCTGATCTTATATGACTTAGTTTTTATTCGACAATAGTCATTTGATTATTATTCATTCGATTCTCGATTGTGCTTCTCGATGCTGTATGCTACGTATTTCTAATTAAACATCGAATGAATTTTTGTTTATCTTATCGAGTCATATTTCTTTCCTTCGGTTTCGATCGCTTTTCTCGATTTGCCACTAACACCCCCTCAACAATTATCCTACAAGATATCTCACTGTTAAATTGTGACTTGGCACACCGACCTCCACCGCAGCACAATTGTGTAACCGTTTCTCCACCATAAAAAAAATTGATACACAAGACTGACGTATCTCAATAAAGTAAAATGTCGTACGTAAATAGTATAAAAATGACAGAAAATGAATTGATAACAATGGATAAAACAAAGTATGATATAAATTTACAAATATAATTAAAATAAACAGTAACATAAAGTCTCTTTTACGACCAATTATTAATTCTAATAATTTATCACAATTTATATTTTTCACAAATTTTATACTTATAGAATGAAAAAGTATAGAAATCAATGGGTTATTTTTCAGACAAAATTCTTTCCGAAAGCCATGGTGTGTTATCTCAGAGATGCTTCTGCGCAAAAGCAGAAGAAAGTGTAGAAGATGTTTCTTTCACTTTCACTTTCACTTTAATGCGTTTTCCAACACCAATTGGGGAGCTTTTTGTGCTGGGATTGGATTTCCATGGAAAAATTCGCGAAGGACATGACCAGGAGAGATTATTAGAGTACAAATATAAATATAAATATATATATATATATATATATATATATATATTACTATTTTGAAAATTGAAGTTCTGTCCGTTCAACCGGTTTAATCAGATCTAAAAATTAATCGATTTTTTAAAATAATTAAATTTTAATTAAATAGAAACAAATTCGGAGTTGAAAAGATTTTGGTAAAAAAAAATTAAAATACTTTTTTAATATAACTTTTTATAAAAAATATAACATATTTTAATTTTTTATATAGTTATTGTATAATTGTTTTAATCATTATCAATCTTATATTTTTTAATATATTTATATTTTTAATTTTTATTAAAATTTACATAATAATAATTTTTATTATTTTTATTTTTTTAATATTATTATTAATAAATTTATTATATACTTATTATATTATAAATATATTATTTTATTAAATATGATTAAATCTTAATTGAATTTTTAAATTCTAGATTCATGTTTTTATTAATTTAAAAATCAGTACCATTTAAATATATATATATATATATATATATATATATTTTTTTTTTTTTCCTTATCGTATCGGAATTAAAGGAAAGATAAGTCCTATTCTCAAATTGTGTATTTATATATTGCAACAAATTTTATAAGGACTTTTAAGAAAAATAAATTATTTGTTCATAAATTAAAATTAATTTATATAAATTTTTTAAAAATATATTATAATTTTAAAAAATATTTTTAATTCAACCATAAGTAAAGTTTAAAAAATAAAGTAGTTAATTTGAATTATTTTTATTTTATTTTAGCATTGATTATTATAATAACATGATGCTATTAATATGCCTTATTTATTTTATTTTTGTTATAAAAAAATATTGATATCATCATAGTGTAGATCATTATTTTATATTTTAATTCTTAGGATATCTTTAATTTAGGGACGACAAAACGAATTAATTTGTCCCGTTTTGGTCAATTTCGTCTTTGACCCTTCAAAAATGAGATAGAGTGGACTAACACATTATAGTTATGATGAACTGTAGACCTTAGTTTATCCCGCCAAAGGACGGGTTAGCGGGTTGACCCGCCATAATTTTTTTAAAAATTAATTAATTTATTTTTAATCAAAATTTTAATAAATTTAATAAGATTATTATTTGTTTGTCGATAATTCATCATATATATTTCGAGTTAATAATATAAATCAACACATTATCTTAAGAAATTATAATTTAGAATAATAATAAAATTTATATAATAATAAATAATAACAAATATATATACATAACGTTCATAATTGTAAAATTTATATTTTTTATATTGAAAAATTCAAATACTTCAAACAAAAGTTATATCATATCTTTATTCTTTGATAAAATTTCACATTATTCTCTCCTTAAATCATTCTCACACTTTTAATTCAAGTCATGAGAATAAAAATAATCAATGATCACGATGAGCAAAGAGGAGATGATAAGTAATAAGGACAAGATGAGAGAGGAACTTATGTTTGAGTAAGAAGAATGTTTCCAAAATAACGAGTAAGAGTAAAACTTTTTTAATTCCCTTTTTACAAATTTTTATCTTATGAGTTGTCTTTACGACTAACTGTATTACAATAAAAAAATAATTTTTATTAATTAGGCGAGCTTGACGGGATGAATCAAAACGAGTTAGTAGATTAAAAATACCAACCCACCCCCCATATTTATAGCGAATTATCGTGCCGTTCTGATGAACCTAACCCATTTTGTCATCCATACTTTAATAAACTTACTTTTGATTTTACTACATTAAAAAAAATAATAAATTTTGAAAAACTCATTATCTTTCCTATTCTCTCTTCTCATTTACTTTTTTTTAGTTGTTTGATGAAGCAACTATCAACAAAATTTAAGCAACTTAGGGCGGAGTTCTTAACAAGAGTTGCATAAGAACAAAATTGAATATTTTATTATGGATTCCACATATAAATTGCTTAAAACTTGGTCAGCTTATATAAAAAAATTTCTCTATTTCTAAGCAACTCAAATATGAAACTAATAATAAAATATTTATTTTTATTCCTAAGTAACTCGATTAAGAATTCTTTTTAACATGTTCATGCCACATAAAATTCTTCCAATGGAAAGTTGCTTATCAACAGAAAAATTTAAGCAACCTATGCCTTCATAGAGTTTTGATAAGTCAATATATAACAAACATTTTAAAGTCTACTTAATCAAGTTTTATCAAATTCAGAGGAGAGTGAGAGGTCTATTGAAAAAGACATTCCAATATTTAAATTATAATAAGAATAAGTATATTAAAAAAGAAAATATGAAAATATAATATATGAAAATAAAATATTTTATTTATAGATATTGTGAAAAGGTATTTTAAGTAGTCATTTATTTCAATTTAATATTAATTATAGGCTTATTAATACAATATTATATATAAACAAGTAATTAGATATATTAATTATATATTATTATAATATGCATTAAAGTAATTAATTAGAATAATATTTCTATTGAACGTTATAAATACAAAATTTTGATTAAGTATATAATCCTAGGCCGAGAATCTTTCTAGAGTAAACAAATAAATTTGATCTAAATAATATCGAGTTAAACTTTGTGGAACTAGTGCTCCCATTACTCATTTTGACACTATTATCTATCTTTGTATGGTTGTCATTGACATGCATTAACGAGGGTTTTAATTAATAATGTGTCAAAGATTATTGTGTTATCATAGAGTTTTTTTTTTTTTTTCAAAAAGTTACACTAGTAAATACATTAAGTTCAAATGTTTCATGTTTATTGTATCATTTACATTTTTCTTAACTCTTTTTTAGGAATGATAATTAAACTAGTACATGTGAGGACTGATTCGTTCTCGAGTTTGATGGAAAAAAAAATTGGGTTGATAAAGGACGAAGACGAGGGTGGGTTTTTACTGCCTTAAAAAGTAGGGGCGGAGATGGATAATGTAATCATCATCCCAATTTTATATTTAAATTTAAATTTTAAAATATTAATATTTTAAAAATATTTTCTTTTTTTTCCTTAATATAAGGTTATTTTTTTCTATATTTCATTATTTTTACTTTTCTTCTACCCAATTTTTAATTCTTTTATATCAATTAGTTCATTAGATTATTTTTCTTTTCTTATCTTTCAGCTTTTTCACATTTTCTTAATCTCTCCAATCAATTTGTTTTTTTTTTCAATCTTTTCAACCAATTTGATAAACACAATTTTTTTTTCTTTATCTTTTTCTAAATATTTTAGATAAACCTTAATAGTAACTTATATTACTTTTTATATAACTTATATTTATTAGGTTTTATTCTATCATTTTTTTTCTTATTATTTTTATTTGTCATATATCAAATTTTATCTTAATAAAATAATTATATTTTAAAAAATTAAAAATAATTAATAATTTAAATTTTATTACTTTGAATGGATTAAATAAGAATTAATTTATATATATATATATAATAAAATATTTGAATAAAATATTATAATAATATTATAAGTATTCAAATATTTGAATAAAATATAATAATAATAATATTATTATTATTATAAATATTATATATTTGTATAAAAAAATTATTAAATATTTCTTTTACATACATATTTTAATATAAATATAATAAATTAAATTATATATTTAATTAATAATAACTACAAATTATAAAATTATAAATATTTATTTATATATAAAAAATACATAAAAATAATGAAATTAATTTATTATAAATATAATTATTATTATTTTAAATAATGTAAATCGGGTACAGTACATATATTTCCTTTCACCCTTCTCTAGACATCGAGTTCTTGATGGGTGAAGATGCTCTTGATAATTCTTAGTTAGTCTGAACTACACTAAAAGAAGTTAAAAAGAATTAGATTTTCTCCAATTTCGAAAGATAAATCATTATTATTTTGTTATTATTATCCCATATTTAATAAAGGATATTTATAAAATTTATAGTATTTGTTTTGATTCTAATGTATTTGTTAGTGGCAAATCGAGAAAAGCGATCGAAAACGAAGGAAAGAAAAGCGAGAAAATATGTGACTGATTGATAAATCGATAAGATAGACGAAAAACCATTCGATGTCTAATTAGAAGTATGTAGCACATAACATCGAGAAGCACAATCGAGAATCAAATGAATGATAGCCAAATGCCTATTGTCGAATAAAAAAACTAAGATTTGAATTATATGATGTTTCGGTTAAAAAGGAATCGTAAGCAATTCGAAGTTCTCGAAAGTATAAAATCGAAAGTGAAGAAGGCTAACCTACGTGGATATCGAAACCTTGGCCAAATTGTGAAGGGAAGAACAGTCAAGCGCACATACGGGAAACAGTTTCTAAACCATGGTAGAAGTTGAAGATCGTGAGAACGTGGGTACAGTATTGAAACCATAGAAGATAAACTGCAACACGCACGTAGAACGTGGCAGCAGTTTTGTTAACTGCTCCTGGAAGGTTTGAATGATGCCCTATAAATAGAGCAAAGGAGGAAGGAATAGGGGGCAGAAAATTGGCAGAGAATAGAATCATTAGTGAGAAGTCTACCGGAGAAACGACGAACATCATGAAGCTTCTGGCAATCTGGATTTCCATGCTCATTGAGTACCTTTACCGTTTTCTGTATTTTCCTTGGTAATTTACTTTGATGCAATTTACCTTTAACAATTTTATGTTTCTGTACTTTCGATTTTTGGTCATTTCGATTCAATGAAAGTTAAGTTTTTGCGTTTAAGTTTTCTTGTCATTTAACATTGATGCAATTTCGATTTCCAAGTTATTTATACTTTCTACACATTTGATTTATTGTCATTTATACTTCCTGTTATTTACATTTCTGCTGTTTCGATTCCCTGTCTTTTATATTTAAAGCAAATTTAAGATTTCCGCATGTTACGTCTCTTTGCAATCCAATGTTTAGTACTGCTTTTCGATTCCATAGAATTTCTGTTTTCTTTACTTCGAGCACTTTAGATATAAAACCAAAAAAGTAT